TGAGGAAACTTTGAATGGACTTCATTCTGTGTGTAACTACATATTAATTAGGAAAAATCACTATGGATGCTGAGTTCTAAACAATTACTAGAAAATGCTAGGCTAGGAAAAAAAAGCTAATAAAAACTGTAAAATATAATTAAAATATTTTAGCTTTTAGTGCTAAGTAAAAGACATGAGACAAAATGTGGCAATTAACTTGTGATGTTTACTTCTAAAGTTTAATTAAATAATCAGTATGTACAGAATTAGGTTTGGATGCCTCAGCTTCCACTCACTGCCTCTCTTTGAAAAGATAACAGAGAAAATGTTCCCAGATACCAGTTTGTGGAAACAATGAAATCACATTTCAATAAAGTTAACTTTTAACTGCTGTGTAATGTGTCCTCAGCCTGGGGAGCTGGAAAGGTCTTCTCTTTCAAGATAAGAGGAGACAGAAGTATGGTGATATTGGTGAAGAATGTGAGGGTTCTAGTAGTTGGTCAGAAAATAACAAACCTTCTTCAAAGAGATATGTCATTTTTATTCACTAGCTATTCCAAGTATTTAAATTATGACAGTGAGAACAACTGTCATTGTTTCCTGTGTAGTAGCAGGACCGAGCATCTCAGTTTGACAAGTAGTCAAGATATGATTCTTTCTTTCTGGTATGAATCTGTTTTTCACATTGCTTACTTCTCTATGAACCTTAGAGATTTGATAGATTGTATTTAATCTTCCATTGAGATACACTATTGAGAAAAGCAAGAGAAGCTTTGAATTTAAGAAGAATTGGCAGCAATGAGAAGAAGAGTACAATCTTGAAAGATTTCAGAGCTATCACACCTCATTCCCAGGTCTGAACCATAAATGGGATAAAGTAATAACTGTAAATACAATATGGTAAATAAAAGTAAAGGAATAGAGGATTCTGATCTACCAAAAGCCCAACCTGGATTAGATATTCATTATTATCCACAAATTGTAATTTTCACTCTATTTTCAGGTAAACTTCCAGAATCCATTTCATGCATTATTACACCATTGCAATATCATATTGCTTTGCATATTATTATTTCTTTTCCAAAGTACTGCAACTGCAGTAAAAGATAGCAGTAATGTAGCCATTACCTACAAACAAAACTATGTGGTATATTCTGTATGCTTTAAACCTGTGCATGTAAAACACAACACTGAAATTCAGCTCACAGCTGCCTTATCTATTTATTTGTTTGTTTGCTGTAATGCCTGTTAATTAAGATAGATGTTAACTAGGTGGCACTGTGTGCTTGAAGGACTGAGCATGACACTTTTCCCCTCCTTAATGCCTGCGTCTTGCATTCCTTCAGCTCACATCCATCAGGAAAGGACTGCCAGGTGAGCTGACTGTCACTCCAGACCAGGCTAATAGATTCTCCAGTGGCTTTTGTAACAGCTCATGTCATGCTATTAAAAAACTCCGTGCCTTGGAAATGACATAACATACGTAGCTGAGGCTTGTCAGCTCCAGGTAATCAGATGCTGCTTGGTTTCAGAAGCAGATGCAGATGAGACTGGTAATATAAATATGCAAATCACAATGGTCCCTTGTCAGCACCACTGTTCCTACCTCTAATGGCCCTCGTAGAAAGTCTGTTTGCTCAGCTCCTACTTCCAGTGCTACATCGACAGAAGCAAAGGGGCGGCTGGCCATCTGCTGTCGCTCCCGCATAAGTTGCTGATGAGGAAAAAACGATGTTTTAACAAAACATTAAAAAATGCACCAGATATTAGTCTGCCCTACTATACCTCCCATTAAAACATAAGAACGCAAATAGCATGCAAATAGTCATATTTGTAACATCAAAGTGAGAAAGTTATACTAAATCATCATCATCTATATTTACTCGAGAACGGAGCACAGAAGGCTACGATGCCTACAAATGGTCTTTCAGCTTGAACTCTGACAGAATCTCCAAATGAAAGCTTCCCTAACTGACTGTTCTCTCCAAACAACTTTGCTATTTGTGCAAGTGGCAAGCAAATATGGGAAATGGTTGGTAAAAATAGTTGAAATCTAATTCCACAGATAATGCAAGCATTAGAACACCTGCCAAGAACAAGTCCACTTGGCCTTCAAATTTTCATATTTCATAACCAAGCCAGATGGAGTTAATAGTGTCAGGACTCAATTTTATACAGTATCTTTTCTGCAGCTACTTTTTCATGAAGAATAATGTGTCAGGATTGGGAAGGCTGCATCAGTGTATTAAGAATAAGCTCAGCTACGCTCAGAGAGCTTGTATAATCCCTTCCAACCATCCGAGTGTGCACAGAATTCCCAAGCAAAGCCACAAGGCTAACTCATATTTCTTCCTCAATCTGTAATTATAACGCTTATTAAAGCATGATGTATAAAAATGATGACCAGCACTAGATATTACAGATCTTACTTCACTGCTTCAGTGCAACTAATAAAAGCATTATTAAATATTTAAGGTGAATGAGTCGTGCGATTCAAGTCATGTGTTCCTTCAGCTGAATAGGATGTCACAGCATCTCGAAAAGACAAAATGATTGCAAAAATGTTTTATTAGAAAAGATCTAAGTTTCATTTTCTTAGGGTTTTTCTCCCCATTATATGTCTGGGAAGCTAAAACATTAGAAAGTGGTATTTGAATGTAAATGACACTATTACTGTGACATACTGTTCATAAAAGCCTTTGAAAGAACAACAGGTATGCAGGCAAATATTTGCTGGCAGCTTACTAATAAACACTCTTGATTTAAGGGCTGTTACAAAGCAACAAACTGGTTTTGTAATACTTCTCATGCATTTTTCTCCTGACTTGCTTTTTAAGATTGTCTCTAGCAATCTAAAGACACACTTATAATGTTAAAATCAAACCAATACAATGGTCTCTCAGTGCATACCCAGTGCATTCCTAAGGCCTGTTTTTTATAGGCATGCAGTGTGTTTGTCAGCAAGCCCCTGCACAAATGGGCCCCCAGTATATCATACCAAGAGGATAATCAATATGTCTGTGGGTGAAACTGCATGTTTTATATTGAGAATAAATAAAAGCCCAGTATGAGTATCTAGATGGTTAAGAATTACGTTTTTAACCCTTCACATTAAAATGAAAACGGTGGTCTCTTGTCTAGGATTTACATCAGCACTGATTTTCATCAATACAATATACTGACAGATTTTACAGCCTCCAAAATACTGAGTCACTACATGCTAAAATTACTATATCTAGCTCATTTTCTTCCTAAAAGAACAAAAATTAAAGAAAACTGTGTTATTAGAGCAGTCATGCCACATGGAACTCATTAGAGTATTGTAAGTCTGCAGAGCTATTGGCAAGTGCTTACTCTTTAATGGGAAACCAAACACTGTTTTAAACAAATAGAATTGCTTGAGGAAAGTACTTAAACGAACAGCATAACCTACGACCCAAATATGCAAACCATTGTTTAAAAGATTAATGTGAATCATAAAGATACGTATATTTGATATGTTTGCTGTTTTTTAAGGCTAGTGGGTTTCTTCAGCTCTGCTCCTGGTCAGGCATCCAGTAAAAACTTCCCATTCACAACACAGTCACTGTAATTTTGATGCTCTGTCATTTGAGAAGAGTACTATGAAGATTCTTAATTAGCTCAGTAAACAAGAATGAAAACTTTAAAATGTTCGGCTGCCCATAAAGTGCTGCTGAGTTTGGCAGCCGAGCACTTTCACATCAAAGATAAGTGCTCTGTTCAAAATAGAGCTGCTTTCTGTTCAGCATTTTAAAACTCCCTTTAAGGTGCAGAACAGGAGAAAATGAGATGCAATGAAGAGAAATACAGGAAGATATTATAATGCTTAAAATCAATTTTGTGGCTGGAAAAGGTCACTACCTCCCACCATCTGCAACTGCCCGTATATCAAGACTGGGGAAAGACAAAGTTTCAGTTATAGAACATCTTGTGAGACAGATTATTGCATGGTGGGTGTCATTCAGGTGTGACACCATGTGCTCCACTTATGTGCTGTTTTCACAAAGCCCATATGGTTATGGGGAATTCCTGTAATTCACACATAGGGCCAAGAAACCTGAAAACTCTCTGAACATGGGTACTGTGAGAAGAGCAGAAAAGCTCTTCCTTACCTTCTCAGCAGTCAAAGAGATTTAAAAAAAAAAAAACACAAAACCCCACACACAACTGAGGCAGAATAAACATGAGATAGTGGAAAGTGGAACTAAAATGCTGTTACCTATATACTCATGTCCAAAAAAATTACTACATTTTAAAATCATACAAACAAAAAATAAACACATACTTTTTCCGGAATTAGGGATATTTGCTTGGAGATATAGTATAGATAGGTATTATTATTATGTAATATTTGAATATTTTTTCCCAAATTTAATTTGTAACATTCAGGATGCAGACACATGTCTCAATATTCACTTTAAAGTATGGAAAATTATAAACATTATTTTCTCGGTGTAGGGAGTTTCTCTGAATGAGGACTGAGAAATTAAATAACATTTATTTTCCTGAGCAGACAACTGATTTCAGGTTCTACCATAATTTTAAATCTCATTAAGTAGAAGATTATTGACAAGATTAATTTTTTTAAGCATCTCCATTATTTTGCAGCAATTTCAAGGTATTAATTTATATCCTATTAAAGAGTTTTTCTTTTAAAGTGTGGAATTATAGCTGTCATCAGTGAAGAACAGTAAGATGTTAGGATACTATAAACCAGGTCAATTTCTTACTCAACACCCACATAATTTGAAAACATTTCTTATAAAACCAACAATTTTGGCATAACTAGTTTCCTATCATGGAAATATATATTTCATCTGACTCTCCATGCACATCTAGACATCTTAGATTTTGGTAACTTTGAGTTTTGGTTATCTAGTCAAATAAGTACCTTTGAAACAGAACCTGCTTTCCCACCCAGAAGTAGATCACAAGAAAGTATTTGCCTAGGTATGCAATTCAATTTTACTATTGATCAAAAAAATTCTCAAGGGGGATACTACTCAGTGCAGTTTGGAATAAATGAAAATGTTCCATACTATTTTGTATAAGCTTCTATAAGGAAATGTTCTTACTTGAGTAGAAATGTTTTGGTTTTTTTTTTTTTTTCTTTGGTTTGATAACATTCAGACTTGCTTTCAAAATATTTTAATGTCCACATTGTATTCATGTACAATAAAACACTCAATGTAAAATATATATTACAGTGATTTAACAGTAAGAGAATGCAATATTCCAGCAATATCGGGAAGAAGTGTTTCAAATATTTTGTATTTTAGGAATTTTCCTTCCCTTCCCTTTCCCCTTCCCCTTTCTTTCCTTTTCTTTTTCTTTTCTTCCCTTTTCTTTTCTTTCATGACTTGGTCTCTCAAATGGAATTCATTACTGTTCTTCTGACTAGCACTGCTTTCTCTATGCTACTCTCTTCACCTTCCAGTGGAACTGCCCTGGAAAAGCCCTAATTGGAAAAATCTAATAAAGTGCATGAGACATTAAGAACTAGGACAGGTACACTTTCTCTTTGTTATACAGTAACAGACATTCTTGAGAGACTGATAGACTGGGATAGCTGAAAAGGATGAGGCCATTTTAGTGCCATAATAGGATGAACAGAAAAATCCTTTCAAAGCTCTTTCTGTTGCTGTTTGGCACCTCTAATGGGCTACTTTAGCCCACTGGCAAGCAAGGTACATGCTGGAGTGTGCCATGAAGGATGCACAGACAGCAGTGTATACCCAAGTTCATAGGGAGTTTGACAGCTGGGGTGGGGGTAAGAAGTGGCAAACATCAGTAAAAATCTTCAGGAGATTTTTCTGACTGCAAAAAAAAAAAAAAAAAAAAAAAAAAAAAAAAAAAAAAAAAAAAAAAAAAAAAAAAAAAAAAAAAAAAAAAAAAAAAAAAAAGAAAGAGAGTTTTCCTTTTGGTTTTTCAGAGCCAGGCAGTCTCAATACATTATTCCAGAAATAAGAAATGATATGGCAGTTGAGAGGTGTCTGTTATTTTAATAACAGCAACAACTGCCTAGGTGTTATAGCTTTTCTTCCTTCTCACCTTAAATGTGTTTGGCTTTTCCCTAGATCAGATCACTATCAATAAGGCACCAGGACATCCATGCCTTTGTCAAGGTGAGTATTAAAAACTATGAAGGATGGCAATTCTGCATCTCTCTGGAAACTGCTGTCTAGTCGAGTGCTGCACGACCCTCCTTGTGACAGAGATTTTCCAAATGTCCCATTTGAAATTCCTATTCTGCTTAACCATCCCTGAGCTCTGACTTCACTGCAGCCTCAAGTTGGTCTCCTCCTTTCCTGTTTCTGTGCTGTCAAACTGCTGATGTGAGTAACATCAAAAGGCTACAACAGAAGCATTAACAAAGCCATGCATTAAATCTCAAGTTTTATAGGAAAACTATTGCAATGAGAAAAAATACCAAAACCTCATGGCATTGACTAATTTCTGATCACACTGCATTTGACAAGCTCCAAAACTTAAAAAAAATCAAATGTATGTAAGTGGACAGCCCTGCAAAACCAGAACCTCCATAGGAAATGCAATTCAGCCACTCATCACATATCCTTGAGGGTTCTTACTGCCATTTCAAATCAACAGAAGTAACTTATATGGGCTCACATGACTACACAGATCTGAGTGGATCACAGGCATTTTAGTTAGAAACACAATTTAATTCCCTCC